ACAATCTGCTGGTTTCTTCTTTAGATTGTTCTTTTTTATGCACAGTGCCCTGAGACAACGTATGTTGTGACTTGGAGCTGTATAAATAAACTGAATTGAATTGAATCATAACTCCGGTTCTATTTTGCCTAACAACACAATTTAAAAACTGTTTTAAAGTTTAAAGTCGCTACTTCTGATTTAAATTGAAACTGTGTCTCATAGAAGGCATATCTTTCCMGTTAGAGCGATTGAAATGGATCATGTGATGCGCCAGCAGAAGTTCTCTTAATCGATAAGAAAGGATTTTAATCTGATAAACTATTATTTGACAATTAATTGTAAGTTGATTGTTTGCATCACTAAAATATTGTTTTAACTATTACGCAAAATATTAACCTTTTTCATTATTACCTGTTCATTTTGATTACCTCATCATGTTTCAAATGGTCTGGCATACTTAACATCCTCTTCCCAAGGCCAGCAGGGTCAAGTTGTAGCTCTTCAGAGCCCTTTGGTGTGAGCTGACTGGGTTCAGACAGGACATACATATGAAAGTCTGTCCTTTTCACAATGGAAGGTGCAGGGGTCGAGAATCGTCGTTTTCCTCTTGCCTGATCAGTATTAAACATACTTGGAAACTGCCTGATGTGGAAAAGACAAAAAAATAGTTTAGGGAAAACAATAAATCTTTTACCTATTTTACTGTACTTAGTTTAAAAAAAAGGTCCAATACATACATATACTATTCATTTCTGTTCTAGACAACAATAAATGTGTAAGAATAATATTAATCACCATCACTAAAGTAAAAATGTGTTACCTACTTGACAACACAACTTTGTTGAACAAATTAAGCTATTTTTAATAACCAATGTCATTTTGTTGTTTACATGTTTTAATGTGAGTGTACAACAACGTTGGGTGTYATATGCAGCGTGACAGGAGAGGGAAAAACAGACTACAGCAAGTTCAAATATAGGTTTCCATATTCATGAGAATAACAAAATAGAAAAGAAAACAACAACACTGTAGGACAAATTGATGAATGCAAAGGATATACTGTATCATGGTGGTAAGGTTGAGTATAATTTAAATTTTGTTGATTCAGATTGTGGTTCCATACTGAACTTGTTCTTACATAAAGTCATTGATTTTATAGCAACATTGCTTCAGTCATTAGCTTATATCACATGCACTGCACTTAGTCTCGTTATCTTAAATCAGGGGTTCTCAAGCCATTTGGGTCTGGAGACCCCTTACAAGAACGAAAAAATTCTAAGGACTTCCTCAT